GAAGGGTGTCCAAAGATTTACAGAAAACTCGGTCCCTTAAATGGAATGTGAGAGGGCAAAGGACACTGCTATTAAAAGTATGATTGGAGTCACATCAATGCATCAGATTTACAGGTGGAAGTAAAGAAGTGGGAATGGGACCATGATTGGACACATACAGTCTACGAGACAGAGGAATTTACAAAATTGGTTTAGGGCTCACCAACCAAAGCAGACAGGATATGGCTCATAGCCACTCAACCCCAACACCCTAATTCCATTTTTACCCTCTAACACTAACCATAACCATAACAACTAAGGCTAACCCTAACACAAACCCTAACCCTAACTCTAGTCCTTAACTCCTAAACCTATCACTTAATCCCTAACCTTAACCCTAACCCTAGCTCAAACCCTAACTCTAAACTTAACCCTAACCCTAACCCAAACTCTAACCCTAACCTTAACCCTAACTGTAATTATAATCCTTAACTCCTAATCCTTAACACAGGTGTTATCACTTGATCCAGAACCTAACCCTAAGCTCAGCCCTAAATCTAACACAAACCCTAACCTTAAGCCTAAACCAAACACAAACTCTAACCCTAACTCAAAAGCTAACTTCAACCTTTAACTCTTTCTTTTTTGAATCATTTTATTGGGGGCTCTTACAGCTATCACAATCCATACATACATACATTTTGTCAAGCACATTTGTACATATATTGCCATCATCATTTTCAAAATAATTTCTTTCTACTTGAGCCCTTGATATCAGCTCCTCATTTCCCCCTCCCCCACCCTTCCCCCCTTACTCATGAACCCTTGATAATTTATAAATCCCCCCCATGTCTTACACCAACCACTGTCTCCCTTCACCCACTTTTCTGTTGTCCATTCCCCTAGGAAGGGGTTATATGTAGATCACTGTGATTGGTTCTCCCTTTCTCCCCCCACTTTCCTCTTACTCTCTTGGTATCTCTATTCTCATTATTTGTCCTGAGGGGTTTATCTGTCCTGGATTCCCTATGTTGCGAGCTCTTATCTGTAGCAGTGTACATGCTCAGGTCTAGTCAGTTTTGTAAGGTAGAATTGGGGTCATGACAGTGGGGCGGGAGGAAGCATTAAAGAACTAGAGGAACGTTGTATGTTTCATTGGTGCTATACTGCACCCTGACTGACTCATCTTCCTTGTGACCCTTCTATAAGGGAATGTCCAATTGTCTACAGATGGGCTTTGGGTTTCTACTCCGTGCTCCCCCCACGCCCACCTCATTCTTATTGATAATGATTTTTTGTTCTAGGTCTTTGATGCCTGATACCTGATCCCATCAACACCTCATGATCACACAGGCTGGTGTGCTTCTTCCATGTGGGCTTTGTTGCTTCTGAGCTAGATGGCCACTTGTTTGTATTCAAGCCTTTAAGACCCATCCCAGATGCTATATCTTTTGATATCCAGGCACCATCAGCTTTCTTCACCACATTTGCTTATGCACCCATTTTGTCTGCAGTGATCATGTTGGGAAAGCAGCACCCTAATTTCTATGAAGGGTGACCTATGTAAATTCCTAAGGAATAGGCTTCCCAGTCCCTAAGACAAGGCCATTCACACCCCCAGTACAATGGTCCGAAAGAATTAAACGGAAGCTAAATTCATTTGGAGATTATAAATGGATTTAGGATTTCCACTTGAAACTTAGTACTCAGAAATGTAAGTGCTAATACACAAGAAGGAAGTTCATTATACAATGACAAAGAGGTAACTTCCCCCGCAAAAAAAAAAACAAATATTAAATATTGTAATAATATCAATTAGTTGACTAATATTCTCAGTTATGTTAACCTAACAAAATTTGTGAACAAATATCAGACCAGAAAGAGCATATTTAGGAGTCTCGGCATATATAAAAGAATAGAAATCATATAAAGTATATTCTTTGACCTTAGCAATTTTAAACTAGAAACCAATAGAATAGCTTCCAGAAAATCCACAAAAGTTTCAGAAATGAAATAAGCAACTTCTGATGAGATTAAAAAAAAGAAGCCTCAAGGGATATTTAGAAATGTTTCATATTAATCAAACTTAAAACACAGCACATCAAAATGGAGGATTAGCAGAAGCTGTGTATACAGGGAAGTTTATAGGAGCAAATAGTTATATTAGAAGAGGAATATGTCAAATAATTAACTTAAGATTCCATCAGAGAGAGTGGTGAAAGAGCAATAGAAAAAGTAGTGCAAATTCAATCCAAAGTAAGCAAGAGGAAGAAAATAACAAATGTCAGAAGAGAAATAAATGAAACTGTCACAGAAAAACAATCAGGATGGGGGGAACCGAAGGCTAATTCACTGAAAAGATCAATAAACTTGATAATGTCCTAGCCAGAGTGATCAAGATTTTAAAAGGGACAACGCAATTATTCATATCAGGAGCAAAAAAGATGTATCACTACTAACAACAAAAAACATTAAAAGGATAACAAAGAAATACAAAAAATCTATGCTTACGAATTTTAAAAATTAGTTGACATAAAATAAAATAAAGAATTCCTACCAAAGACACAAGCTACCAAAACTCACTTGGGAAGAAATAGACAACCTGGAAGGTCCTATAACTAGTAGAGAAATTGGGTTTAAACTTGTAAAAAAAAAAAGGAAAGTTTCTGGTACAAATGGGTTCACTGGTTAGTTTCTCAGACATTTAAGAAATAATAAAAATTTTACATAATCTCATCCAGAATATATAAATGGACAGAATATTTTCAAACCCTAATTCTATGATCAAAGAGATTTCAAGAAGAAAAAAAATAGCAATATGAATTTCTCATGAACATAGAAATAGAAACACTCAATAAAATATGAAAAAACTGAATTCAGTAGTATGTGAAAAGATTTTATAGATTAAAAAGTGAAATCCAGTCTTCAAAATGGAAGGACAAATCAAATCTCCACTTTTCCATCATTTCTGATAACAGCCATTCACTCAGCAGCACTTTTTGCTCTCTGGCTCTGGCCACCTGCAGCTAGGCCGGATTTCACAAGTTTATAAGGACACTAACCTTCAGACTCCCAAATAGACAGTATAGATGCCAGCTGGCCACAAGTGCAGGAGTCCACATAATATCATTATTTCTCACCTATTGTCTGTAGTGGATTTTCCCATTACCCCTTCAGGATATTGGCTGCAAGTTAATGGGCTTACCCTGAGCTCCCTCATTTTCTCCTACTACCTTTCAACATTCCTTTAGGCTCAGTAATTCACTGGAAGGACTTAAAGAACTAAAGAAATGCTGCACTTACAATTACAGATTTATTCTAATCAGAGGATATAAATCAGATCAACATAAAGAAGAAATGCATGGGCCAAGCTTCCGTATCCCAAAAGGGCAATGCTACCCTTCCACATGTTTCAATGTTTTTCACCAACCAAGAAGCTCCTGGAACTTCCAAGACCAAACCCTGTATTGGTTTCACTGCATAGTCCTGACTGGGTCCTGATTACATATTCATGATGGGGATACTTTGCATATGCATGATTGAATCATGCTCCTTCTCATTCCTTGAGGTCAGTTGAAAGCAGACCAACCTGTACTCATTAGCACAGATTCTCCAGTGCAGTTAATGGTAAATGAAGTTAATAATAAATCTAATGGTATTAAAATTTTATTTCAAGAAAGATTTTTTAATGACAAGAGAAAAAGAAAACTAAGCGTTGTTTTTTTCATTTAAGGTTTTAGTGAAGGAATTCAAAACGAGAGACAGGCACAAACCCTCTGTAGAAAAGAGAGAGGAAAAGAAAAATGATGAACCAGTTCTCGAACTACAACTTTGAAGTAGGATGTCAGACTGAGGAGACAGTACTGGAGAAAACGCTGAGCAAAAGCAGGAATTTCTGGAAGTTTTTTAGTAGGGAGTAAGAAGAGGATTGTGGGCTGAAGGTAGAAGTGAAGACATGGGTCAGGCCACACCAGGCTTTTTGCCATGGCAGCAGTGCAGAGGAGGCTCCCAGGCACCCAAGAAAGCAGCCGTGTGAAAGCAGAGAGCGCTATGGCATGTCAAGCATGGATTTAGCTGTCATGTGAATAAAGAATATAATCCTGAGGCTTGGCCATGGTTCATGGACTGGGATCTGTTCATGTTTGTCACTGTCACTGACAGGAAACGAGGGGCTGCAAAAGCAATGTTGGCTAAAGACATCAAGGAACAAGACTCATCCATTCCGACAGTTTGAACAAACTGACTGAAAGAAGCTGAGCC